TCAGCTGTTGCGACACACCGTTCAGCGTTATAGTATTCCACTGTCATAATTGTCACAAACCGCGGCAAACCAGTCCATTCCACTATAAAGATATGGTTCCATTCAATCTAAATTACACTTACGCACACCGCTGTTCAAGTTCGTTGGGTGTCAATATTGAAATGGTTGAACCGCGTGCATGGGAAACCAGAGGCACAGGGTTCGGTTCTCCGCAGTAACCCGCCCTTCATGCCAGGGCGAGAGGCAGGCAATACCAGGTAACTTCAGTAACTATGTGCGTCGTACAGTCCCAATGCCAAGACTGGCATTGGGTAAGGAGAAGGCGATACATACCGACGGAACGTTATCATGACTACGCAACGACATCCGACAATGTTAAGGAAACCGAAGACTGACAACATCCACGTTGATAATTAAAATCTAGATTGCCACCACGCTATATCGCCTGAGTCACCTCGTTCCACGCTGGCCGCCCACCCCGCATCTACAACGTAGGAAGTGGATCACATCTATTGTACGACCCGAGCCACGGCCGTCCTTCGATGTTGGCTGTCCAGCGACCCCCCCCCCCCCCCCCGCGCTCAGAGAGACCACAATATACGTCATCATTGGTCACAGAATAACATGATTACAGCCATTCGTCCTTCAGTAGCGGTGTGCCCATCCCAGTCCAAAATATTTTGCCCCCGCGATTAGTCGGGCAATACAGAACGTTCAGCGCAAGACAGACTGCGGCAGCAGTGAAATTTGAAATCCAAACCTTTCACTCACGCACAACCTCCCCCATTTGCGAATCAGCTCCCTAGCGAGGTGTGATCCACCTCTCACCCTGATCAGCTCCTGATGAGCTGTGACGTCAGCCCGCCCTCCCCCCCCCGTCTAGACACCCCCGTATTCAGAGGTCACTCCCGCCCTGCAGCCCAGTCCTTGTTGTCGGCGCACCAGCCGCGCGCCGCCCGCCGGCTTCGCTCAGTCGTCCGCCTCCAGCTTCTTGCTGACGATGGCCACGGAGCCGAGTGAGCCGATGCTCACGCGGCCGAGCTCGTCGTCATGGTGACGGCCGATGGCCAGCGCCGAGTGCGAGCGCGACTGGTGCACGCTGTCGTGCAGCCGGTTCTGCATCACCGCTAGCGACACCTGCCACAGACGGACGGGCCGGGTGGGGGAGGTCAGACTGGGGCCAGACCGTTTTGGCCGCGACCGCGGGTTGAGACTTTGACGTCAGACGGTGAGGTGAGGTGGTGAGGTCAGATGGTGGGGTGAGACAGTGTGGCCAGATGGGGACCTGAGACGGTGAGCTCAGATGGCGAGATGAAACGATGATTGCAGGCGACGAGGTCAGAAGGTGAAGGCCGTGAAGGTCAGGAGACCGTGAGGTTAGATAATGAGGCCAGAGGGCGAGGTGAGACCGTGAGGTCTGACTCCAGAGGGAAGTTCAGATGGTGGATGGGCGCTCCCGCTAGCGGCGGTTGCCGGGGATGATGCGATCCGCCAATTCACACCGTTAGTGGGACCCTCAGGAAACCGGTGTACGCGACGATGCGGTGAGAATAAGAAACCCCAAGAAAGAGCAAAGGTGCTCGCAATCAGTGAAATCTTAACATATCACTTGCGTGCGTTAGTTCATGCCAATGTGGATTTCGTCGATTACTTTGTGCCGCGGCCTGTGCCAGCGAAGGCTTTAGATTGGGTTAAGACTGGACGCGCCATGAAATGGCGTTGGTAATACCTGAAAGACCTGCAAACCTTGAACCCCGAGGAACTTCGACGTGAGTCCCACACCGGCAGAATTGCTGGCTCACTCCCTTTCTGAGCCACGGAACCCAAACCTAGTCGGCCGCTGGTCAATTCGCTAAGAATGTCCATGTTAAGTCATATGCATATACACACACATATGCACATTATGCATGCATTTTATACATTGTATAACACTATTGTATTGTTGTGGGATTGTCGTATATGTAAATATATATATATATATATATATATATATATATATATATATATATATGCATAAAATAGTTATCAATATCTAACTTCTATATATCGCGGCATCTAGTTAACTGGCGACGGAAAAAGCAGCTTGCCCAGACATCATCTGGTACATGAGACCGTTTCCGCACACAAATCACGTATACATATTACATGGCATTTCATCCACGCACATCATGTCTTGCACGACCCAATACCTCTCCCAACGCAAGCCCGCCCCGCTCGAGGTTGTGGTCTGCCGTACTCACTCGGTTCGCCTGCAGGTTCTCCCTCGTGTACGTGATGCCGTCCAGCATGCTGTTGCGCCGCCGGCCGCGCAGGCTCTCCAGCGGCGCGTTCTGCCCGTGGTGCGAGGGCGTGCCCTTGGGCAGCAGCTGAGGCGAGAGCCGAGCCGTGGCGGCATTCAGCCCCGGCGCCGGCGACGCCTTCGCGACCCCGGACGGCGCGCCGCCGCCCAGCCCATTCACGCGGCGGATCGACCAGTTGAGTACCTGCTTGATGACGATGGAGACGATGTTGAAGAGCGAGTACATGCAGCAGACGCCGACGACGGTGAGCAGGAAGTTGACGACGCTGTACCAGGCCGGCGGCGTCTGCACGCCCGTCACCACGTCGCCGAAGCCGATGGTGGCGAACGAGACGAAGCTGTAGTAGACGGCCTTGACGTAGTCCCAGCGCTCGACGTTGACGTACAGCAGCGCAGCCAGCTGCAGCACGAGGCAGGTGCAGAGCAGGAGGAAAAGCAGCACCCAGCGGACGGCCGGCCGCCAGCGGTGCACACGGCTCTCGCAGGAGCCGGCGCTGTTCGGGCGCGGCATAGTGTGCACCTGCTGGTCGGCCCGCCAGGCGTGGTAGGTGCGCATCAAGAACGACAGCAGCGTGATGAAGCGCTCCAGGAACAGGTTGAAGAAGAGGATGCCGCCGGCACAGCCGAAGATGCCATAGAAGATGAGCAGCAGGCGCCCTGCCACCGTGTGCGGCGCCGTCCAGCCCCAGCCTGCGGACATGTAGACGACCGGCTGAGGTGGTCTGCTGGGGACGAGAGCGTGATGGACGCCCCACTGGAGGATCCAGGGTGTGGTCCTACCTCTTGCGATTACCGAGTAATGCCTGCTTCCTGCGCCCATTACTGCTTGCTCCAGTACAAAGTTAAATTGCAAGTTGCAATTAGCGCAGGTGACCACATTGATCAGGACATCGGAAAGTGATGCAGCCGGTATCGAATAAGGCACACCATGTCAATCAACGCGCATGAAAACAATTATAGAAACATCATGCAACGCCAGTCACACAGGCGTCGATGCTAGACATCCTGCTGTAACGACTTGATTACCACACGTGATATCATTCTGCACAATAGCAAAGCATGACCATTGCCCTGGCGATGGCGGGCTGAGAGGTCAGTGACCATGCTTTACCGTGAAGTACGATACCAGCCATTCGCCAGGCTTTCAGAGAGATTGTAGCCTAAGCGCACTCATAGGCCAACAGAAACAGGCGTAGGAGGTAACTGTCGGGTGCAGACATGGGCTATCTTAACACGCTCTCCGCGAACCAAATAACTCTTTTTGAGGTTGCACGCTCCTCGCTAATTCGTGGTACCTAGCGCTCGAACGCTCCTCCCCCTCCCCGATCAACGGAACCCCGACCGCTCCTCCCGCCTCACCGATGGTCGAGATGACGGTGCAGCAGAAGTGGAAGCTGCCGGCGAAGTCCCAGTGCGGACGGCCGGCCAGCAGGCCGCGCCGGTCCGCGGCGCGCTGCAGCGCCAGCAGCTGCTCCACCTGGCGCAGCGCTTCGGCGCCAGTTGACGCCGACGTGTTGCGACGCAGCGCCTCGAAGGTGAGGCGGAAGGTGCGCCGCGCGCCGTCCTCCGCCTCGCCCTCGGCCCACTGGAAGAGCGCCGCGCCCGCCAGCAGATAGAGCAACAGCACGGGCCCCAGCAGCAGGAAACGCCAGTTGTCCTCGTTGCGGCGCAGGCGCGGCAGGCAGGTGGCCGCCGAAGGGCTGCCGGCGGACGGCGGCGGCCGCTCCGGCGACATGCAGGGTCAGGGTGACGACGCGCCGGAGGGCGGCTGCAGCAGGTCCGGCGAGACGGCCGGCGAGAGCAGGCGGAGGCCTGGCGACACCGGCGCCGGCACCAGGCGAAACTCCAGCGCCGGCACGGCGCCGGCGGGTGGCTGCTCCGCGGGGGACTGTGTGCGGGGCCGGTGCAGCTCCGGGCAAGGGCCAGGGCTGCTCGTGGCCGAGTCCGAGAACGCCGCGGAGAACGTCCGCTCACGGTCCGCCCGGCGTCTGGCCGGGGTCCGGTGCGGGTCCGGCGGTCCGGTGGGGTCCGGCAACGGTCCGGGCACGTACCGGACGGTCCGGCGCGTGTTCGGTGAGGCTCCAATGGCTGGCTGCTGAGGTTCCCGTCGGTTTAAACCACGGGCGGGCGAGGACGTTCGAGAAAGCTCAGCTGCGATCCGCGGACACGCCGTTGCGCCCCTGAAGCGGCGCGGTCGGGCCCCGCGGGCTTCCCGACCGTGCGGCCGCTTTGCGACGCGACCCGGCTTCACTCGCGTCGTCTGCTCGCACGACTGGAGGCAAATCAATCCGACGCGAGACGCACATGAGGCCGGGGCGCTGCGGAGGCAGTAACGCGGCGCGTCCGGCCGTCTCCATGGCGACCGGCCGGTGCGCTTCATCCCACGCTCGATGGGAGACGGATCCGCTCCCAGTGCAGAGCCTTGCTCGGCTCCCGGGCTCCCGGGTCACGCTAGGTTTCCGGGCTCCCGAGTCACGCTAGGCTCCCGGCTCTCGAGTCACACTAGGCTCCCAGGCTCCCGAGTCACGCTAGGATCCCGGCTCTCGAGTCACACTAGGCTCACATGCTCCCGAGTCACGCTCGGCTCTCGGGCTCCCGAGTCACGCTCGGCTCTCGTGCTCCCGAGTCACGCTCGGCTCCCGGACTTCCAAACCTCACTCGCTTCCGAGCTCCCAGGTGACCTCGAGTCCCGGGCTCTCGAGACTCGCTCGGATCCCGGGTTCCCGAGTCACGGTCGGCTCTGGGCCCACCTGGAGCCCCGCTCCGCACCCGGGCCTGGACAGCAACGCCCCGCTCCTAGACTTTTCGCGTCCTGCTCCGCTTCCAGGTCTATCGACGTCCAAGCGTGTTCATCGGAACGGTATCGACAGCCATCACACTACGACGTAAGTTAGGTGGGTACCCTGGATGGAGACTGAGGCGCGCGTCGGCCGCACGGACGCAGGCGAAGCTAGCAGAGGACGACGATACATTATCCACGGATGCGGATCACCTGGAGGGTGCTGCGTCCATTGTTGGCACGAAATGAACGCAGCTGGAGTTCCAGGGCTGTGCACGCATTTTATGTATTTTGCTATATATTCCTGTCACCTGCACCCAATCGTCGGCGCTAGTCACTACCTGTGTGTTTTTTTTATGTTTCAAGGCCTCAAACTTCAACCCGAACCGTCAACGATGGTTTGTTGTTGTAGCAACGACTGTATCTACCGGGGAGCTCGAAGGACAACCAAAACTGCGCTGTTCGGTTACTGGGTGACGCGCGGAATGTCTGACAGCATTCCGGAGGATCCACACTGATAACTTGGTTCGGCACAATTCAATACAGCTGTATACTGCCTACTGAGTTGTTGATTGTCCCGTCCCAAATGCACAGCGCTCGAGAATTCGCGAAAGCGTGGACTATACACCTGTTTATCAATTTGGTACTTCGTCACGCTGGCTTGAAAAGAAATAATGTCATCTTGACACACTGGAGCACGAGACAAACGTAACATTAGTTAAAATGGCAAGTGACATATCGTATGATTAAAAAGTGCAACACACGCCGCTCATGCTTCATTTTTATTAACAAAATTGCGATTAACGCGACATCGCCCCCCTGGGCTATCGTAACATGTTCGTTAACATCGCCATTTCACGCAGCCGTTAATATTAAGTACGGGACATCCCAGCCGTCTACAAAGCGACCGTCTGGAATAAGTTGAGTATAACGGTTGTGGCCGGCGGCCCTGCCAGCCTGTGCACCAGCAGCAAGGTGCGAAGTGTGACGCAGTTATATCAGAACAGTCATGGCGTGCCATATGAGGGGGCAACGCAGAGTACATTGGCCGCAGCCGCGGTTATTCCGAACTTTGCGAATTCTGAAGCGGTACGGAGTAAACATCACCCACACTATATCCACAAGTGAGCCATAGGTAAACAAAATGGCACGTCTGTCCAGCACTGTACACCGATAACACACCTGTTAACAAACAGCACGATACGTGGCGCTGCAGCGCGCGCGCGCGATCTTTCCTTGATGCGGCACGGCGGTGACGCACGCGGCGGCGGCCGCGTCCCAGAGTACATGAGCAAGTGCGCGAATGCCCGCGTCAGCCTCCGCGGGAGGGGGGGGGGGGGGGCAGGGGCCCGGCGGGGTCGCTGCCTCGCTGGACACGGACCCCGGGACCCCGGACTACCGGCCAGCTGCTCCGCTATGCGGCAGATACCGCACCCCGCCGACAACGTAACACAGAGCCATCGCCAGTTTATCCCGTAGGTGGGTTTTTCCGAGCGGTTTCGGGCCGCCACTCAGAATACCGTTGCGATGCATACGAGAGCTTCACATCGGGGCATAAATACGTAGCACAGCACGCCTTTCAGTCAGATCTGAGCGCTGAGCGGGCTTCAATGGCGTTTTGTCATAGAAAGGAATCATATTGTCAGGGTTACGGAGACCTTGTTGTCCAGACCTTGAGACCAAACAAAAACGCACCATCATTAAACATTCCCAGAGTAAAGCTTATTTGCCGCGCTCGTGCACGCGGTATACAGCGATCGTCATTAAACAAACGCACTTACACTAAACTCGCACATATAAAGTTCAGACCCATCGTTGTATACAAACCAGATGCCAAAAAAGCCGCCTTCCGGGCGGAAATCAAGAATTACATCGAGGTCGCACGTTTCACCTCGACCACCGAAGAATAGCGCTTTGGTGACTGTTACGCACATCCGGCCGAAGCGCAAACCACGCGGCAACCCATGCCTCGAGTGGCAGAGACGCGCTCACACTTCGACCGGGCGGCCGTGACGTGCGGTGCCGCGCTCAGCCGGCGCCCCCGGCAGACTTCACTGGGCGACCGGGGCGGGCTCGGGCCAGGAGCGCGTCTCGTCCGACTCGAACATGCGCTGCAGGAGCACCTCGACGCTCCGCGGACCTGAGGCGGAGCGGACAGTGAGCGGCCAGCGCAGCTCACGCGCGCGCGGCTCCCATCAGGACCGCGCGTCTCATCGTGACAGTTACGAAGTCCACTGATGATTCCACGTCAGCACATGCTGCGACTGAGTGTGCGTGTTGCAACTGAGATGTGACACTGACTGATGATGAGATGATGAGATGTGACGTCGTAACTCGGTTTCTGTTCAGCTCTGCCTACTATCTCCTGCCACGGCGGGGCGTTTGCACGCATGCAACTCTATCCCGGTAGGGGAGGGGGGGGGGGGGATCGTCGGATGCAGTGAACAGTAATTGATCTAGCGCACGTGACCAGCATCACTCACTACATCAGATGTGGGACGGACCAAAGCACTCACCGTATCTGATGCGAAGCAGGCTGCAGTACTCATCGCGCCTGCCGAGGCCCACACCACAATACTTACGGTTACGGCACCTGAGCCCCGCTCGTCAGAGGCAAAGGGAAGCCCATTCCCTGCATATGACGTCACGACCCAAGCCCATCTCCGGATCAGCCGAAAGCCGGGGTGTATTTGTTGGCAAGAAAGTCGTCGGTGCTGACATAGCAACGCATAACGGTCGATGCTCTGTTGACGGCCTTGTACGTCCGACAAACAGGCAGGCCTCGACCTCATGTGGAAACTGGTCGATAGTGAAGTATTTAGCTACCGATCACTTGTCAATAGCTGTTCTTCGATTAATATTCAAGTGCGCCATTCCTGTGCGCTTTATGTTTCCATGCGGTTGGATCAGCTGATCGTACTTGTCCCCGTATTTGGAATTTAAGGCGTTCCCCATTGGCGTGCATCTCCGACGCCACCTCAGTGGACGGAGCTCGGGTCGTAAGTCAATAAGGAACTGGGTCCTGGTGTGAAGCAGACCATACTGCTCACAGTACCTGCTGTGGAGCAGACCACAGCACTCGTGGCACCGGTGCGGAAAAGACCAGAATACTCACGGGTCTGTCGTGGAGCAGGTTAGACCGTTCACAACATCCGTGTTCAAGCGGACAAGAGCCCCTAGTATCTCGTGGAGAACGGATCATAACGTTAACGGTATTTGTTGTCGAACAGACCACAGAGCTGACGGCATCCCCGCGGAGCGGACCACAGCACTCGCCGAGGCTGCTGTGGAGCGGGTCGCAGCCCCCACAGCACTGACGCGGGGTGGACCCGGACGCTCATCGAGCCTGCTGTGGAGCAGGCCACAGCCCCCACAGCACTGACGCGGAGTGGACCGGGACGCTCACCGATGCTGCTGTGGAGCGGGTCACAGCCCCTACAGCACTGACGCGGAGTGGACCGGGACGCTCACCGATGCTGCTGTGGAGCGGGTCACAGCCCCCACAGCACTGACGCGGAGTGTACCCGCACGCTCACCGAGCCTGCTGTGGAGCGGGTCACAGCCCCTACAGCACTGACGCGGAGTGGACCCGGACGCTCACCGAGCCTGCTGTGGAGCGGGTCACAGCCCCCACAGCGCTGACGCGGAGCGGACCCGGACGCTCGCCGGTGCCGATGTGGAACGGGTCACAGCCCCCACAGCATTGACGCGGGGTGGACCCGGACGCTCACCGGTGCCGATGTGGAAGCGGACGCCGGTCGTGGCCGACAGGTCGTGCGCGCCGGCCGGCCCGCTCGGCCGCCGGTCGTGGTCGGCGTCCAGCTCGTCGCTGTCCACCAGCGTGCGGTACGGGCTGCCGGCCTCGGCGGCGTCCTGCTCGGCCGGCGAGCTTCGTGGCGGCTCTTGCAGACGGCTGACGGCGCGCCACACACGCCGCGTTACAGCACGAGCCGGCCGCGCGGACCCGTCGCGGCGGCGCAGGCGCTCCCACGAGCGGCCGGCAGCCACGACCACCGCCGGACGCCGCCCGCCGCGCTGTACGACAGTTCAACGTCCTCCCTTCTCAGTACGGCACTGTGTCTCGCAGATCCCTGACGCAAACGGCGGCGGGATGTCCCCGGCTAAACGAACACCAGCAATCGTATCAACTCCTGGGAAGCAGCAGCAAACCACCACACGCCGACATTCCACCCCAAATAAGCGGGCGCTTGGGCGCCCACGCGGACACCGCTCGAGTCCGGTCGCGAGGGAGACGAGTCCGTCCGGCGGCGCGGCCGACACCACCCACCTGCCGAGGCCGAGGCCCAGCTCGCTGATCTGCTGCTCCACCTTGCTCTCGGTGGTGGTCCGCTCGGTGGTGAACTCCAGCAGGAACGCCTCCAGAATGAACGCCGTGAATATGCTGCAACGGGCCGTCACCCACCGTCAGGAGCAGCCGCTGCTCACGTGAGGGACGCGAGGCCAGGCCAACCGGCATCGGAACATGGTGACGGTTTGGATCATTTGGCGACGCTGTAATCGCATCGTGATGGTAAGCGTCACGGCCTCTCTCCGACCAGCTGAAGCGGAAGACACCGCAGCACAGCCTACCATATGTGTTGCGGTGTCTTCCGCCGCACCGTGGGTACCGGAGCCCGGCCCTCACGGCCATACGTGGCATGCCGCACCTCTGAGCTGCGGAACCCACCAAGACGAGAAGGCCAGCGGCACAGAGAGCGGCGCACACCGCGGCCATCTAGTGTCGCGTCGAACTAGTGTCGCAGCGCACCGGCTGACCGAGAATAGTAGCTGACTTACCGGAGCGACAGCAGCACTCGCAAGATGTGAGCACCAACAAAACCCACAGCGGAGCACCAACACAACGGAGCGATATAACACGAGCGGAGCTTATGTGAGCACCAACACAACGCCCAGCGCCTGTTGTCTCACAGCTCTGGCATTGCATACAGCGTTAGCACAACCCAACACACGATAACACACCTGAGAAACGACACCGCCCCATACTGGACTCACTTGAGCACCAGCACGACGCAGCAGAGGTGGAAGGCTACGAAGTAGAGGCGCGCCCAGCGCGAGCTGACGGCCGAGAAGCCGTTGGCGATCACGTGCCACTGGTTGACCACCATCAGCTCGAAAAGCACGGCCAGTGCCGACGGCAGCGAGTTGAAGTTGTTGGCGCAGTACTGGAGCCGGCCGAAGTCGGTGTGTTGGAGCCGCCGGTCCCCGCAGCCAGTCGGTAGGCCGGGCCCGAACGGCGCTGTCTGCACGCGGCCCGCGAACAGCTCCATACCCAGCAGCGCGAAGAAGTAGAACAGGCACTGCGGAAGGCGCAGCGGCGTCAGCGCTCGGCGGAAGGGAGAGGGAGCGGGCGGATGCCACGCACGCCACTCCCACGAATTCGGCCAAAACGAGCCCCGGAAAACGGAAAATTGAGAAAGACTCACTGACTGAGAACACACTCGCTCAGCCACTGTGACGTACTTAAAGGGAGTGTTCCACATTTGTATGGGGGTTTGAGCTAAAGCAACCACATTGCATATCATCCAGTGCAGTTCACAGCCCTGACATTCTTAAGACGTAAATCCTCTGGTTTCCGAGCTAGGATGTGCCCGCGAAGATGTGCATATCTTTTCGTGCAGACTATTACAAGGTCATTCAGACATGCTTGTTGTAATAGAAACGTCAATAACATCCTGCCACCCTCTTGGCCATGCAGTATTCAAGGTCAGGAAGAATATAATCGTCAAGCCATTCACATTTGCCTATCGTGGGCACGACTTCCAGACACGGTTGTCGTCAATTGGCTCCACATCGAAGTTGAGCAGCCTGAGCATGTTTTCGTCACGTTTGTGCTACATAATATAAGAAGCCGGACATGTGTACCACACATTATGAAAATAAGACTGCTAATCGAATAGATGAGGAATAACGCCACAACAGGAGTATGTGAATACAAGCTAACAAGTTAACTTAATGACAAATATGCCAGAACACCACGAGAAAGGGCTTAAACACGAGCCCATAGCGATATTTGCTTGAGCAAATATGTTCAGCACCACCACTACCATATCTCAGCGAGATGAAGTGGGTGGGCATTAAGGCGCCAATTGCGCAGGAAAATGCAGTTCATGTACTACGTCCAAACTCTGTTCTCGAGAAGGCTTTATTTAGTTCACGACCGTCGAGTGAGAGACTACAAATTCTGCGTAGGGGTCATCCGTCATACCGTGGTTCATGTCAAAGGTCGAGTCAGGGTTCAGGTCAGTGGTCGAGTCGGGGCTCAGGTCAAAGGTCGAGTCGGGGCTCATGTCAGTGGTCGAGCCGGGCCCAGGTCAGCGGCCGAGTCGGGGCGCAGGTCAGTGGCCGAGTCGGGGCTCAGGTCAGCGGCCGAGCCTGGGCTCAGGTCAGCGGCCGAGCCTGGGCTCAGGTCAGTGGTCGAGCCGGGCTCAGGTCAGCCGCCCAGTCAGGGGCCGCGACACTCACGAACAGCACGCCGCAGTAGGTGACGATCGAGCGACTAAAGCTGGCGATGGTCCGCAGCACCACGCGGAAGATGGCCACGCTGTCCATCAGCTTCACCACGCGCAGCACCCGGAACAGTAGCAGCACGTCCAACACCAGACGGTTCCGCTCAGCTGCTGGCCAGACGGACGGCTGAGACGAGTGACTCTGGGACAGGCGGCTCTGAGACGAGCGGCTCTGAGACGGTGACTCTGAGACAGGCGGCTCTGAGACGAGCAGCTCTGAGACGAGAGGCTCTGAGACAGACGGATCTGAGACGAGTGACTCTGAGACAAACGGCTCTGAGACGAGCGGCTCTGAGACAGGCGGCTCTGAGACGAGCGGCTCCGAGGCAGGCGGCTCTGAGACAGGCGGCTCTGAGACAGACGGCTCCAAGACAGGCGGCTCTGAGACACGAGGCTGAGACACGAGTGTCTGCGACAGGCAGGCAGCGCACACACTGGGCGCGACCTGACACCTACAGCAGAGGTTTATGCGGCAAACCTACCTGAACAACAAACACCTGATGACCTGACAAACAACACACAAGCAGCCTGACATAAAAACGGCTTAAATGCGTCATCTGTTCCAAAGAGACAGCGAATCAGCCGGCGCTCTTCCACTATGGCATGAAGCCCTCACTCCACGCTGATGTCATTTCGGGCCGAATTAAACCGCTGCCGTGTTCCGCAGCGGCGGCCTCTAACGCAGCGTGGGTGGGCAGCAATCCGCGGCGGGCGGCAGCGTCCTGCCTCCGCCTGTGTCGACAGCCTTCCACCCCAGCCACGCCAGATGACGGGAGTCGTACCTTCCACTCCGATGGCCAACCGGGCGATGGAGATGATGAAGGCTCCTCCAATCACGGCGAAGTCGAAACTGCAAGCCGAGAAGGATTCGGGGTCAGGGCTGAGTCAAGTGCGACACCGACGGTGTCGGCGTGTGTGCAGCGAAACGCTCTGGGCGGACGCGGACGTCGTCCTGGCAGCCGTGTCAGTGGGAATGATCCGCCCGGTCAGTGAAAATCCCCCAGCCAGCTGACGTAAACCCGTCCTTCCTACCCTCGCCTGCCCGCCCAGCAAGACAGGCAAGAGCCCTCACAGGTTCCAGAGGCGGTCGAAGAACTCCCTAAAGCCGAACGTGTACATCTTCAGCAGGATCTCCAGCATGAAGAGCTGAGGAAGGCCCACTCGGCCGCGTCCTCGTCGACAGCGATCAGCACTGCGTTCACCACGATCAGCACGTCGAACACGATGCGGAAGGGCCTGACGGTGAGGGCGGACATGTCAGAGCGCGGCGGCCGGGCTTACGACCGACCGCCGGAGGACGGCCAGGCCAGGGCGCAGCCCGAGTCTGACGTCACCGCGCGACGGTCGGAGCTACGCCGAGCAGGCATGGTCACATGACCGCACATCGGCACCGAAACGACAGGCGGATGAACGGCGCGGCTCGGTAGGGATGTCGGCACAGGCGCACACCGGCCTTCCACGTCTGGTCCTGCATGCATGAATCGCAGAAGACGGTACCCTACGAAGGGCCGGTTGTAAGTTCGTTCTACTTTGTTAGATATATTTTTAATAAGAAAACAAGAGAAACATGTCTATATAGCAGCGTGACTAAAATATGTAGAGTCCCTGCCGTAATTTGTACACTAATTGGCATTTGAACTTACATCGTCAGTACTGAGCGTGGCTTGTATCAAATGTGACTGCATCGTCTATAGCCAGCTGGGATGTATTACCACTCAGCTGATTGGATGCATATCCACCAATTAATCCCCATATATAGCAGCAAGTACTTCAAGAAGAATGCCGGAACCAAATGAGCGAATCAAATCTGCTTCAATTCAGGACACCAGCCGATGCTGTAAACTTCATACATATATGCCACAAAAAGTTTGCACAAAATTGTGCTGCACTGCCTCCCTTGCACCTTTGCGACCATATGCAGTCTGAAAAAGATCCACAAAGTATATCAGACATACATTTGTATGACAGCCATGCTATATATGCTTTTCCCCAGTCTCCAATGGTGGATGAAGGGAGATGGGCGAGGACCGGGTCACGAGGCAACTGTAGAGCAGCTTTTATAGCTTTACAGTGGGCTGGCATATAGATTTAGTTTTGACCCCCCCCCCCGCATGAGATGCTCCATTTGTTCCTGCATATCTAAACAACAATTATTTGCCTAATTGATAAAGCATTCACTGTAGGCTGCAGTTCTGCTGCCAAGCCGCCACATGGCGGCCAATATCGCATGCATTGTTCGCCAATCAATGTGTCACATTACCGCAGCTCTCGAACAGTAGTTAAAAGTCCAAACTTGGAACTGCATTGTTTTGTAAAAGCAGCCCACCTCTGCGGGATTTAATAGCTCACAGATAAGTTACCAGATGCTATCGGTTGACCAACCAGACCACTGTGAGAGGCTTAATTTATCATCAGCCATTAACAGCTGTCCCAGCTCGCTGCTAATTGGCCAGGTATTGCAGTTCCGTCCCTACTTACAAGTTCTATTACACCGCAAGGACAAATGAGGGTTTGTTATCGCTTGATGGATGCATATGACAGACGATTTCATGTTTCTTGTTGGCGATTCCTGATATCTGGCAAGTTTTTTGTCAACCAGCTCGCCTTCTTATTTAATAATAGTGCACGTTTAATACGCGGCTCATTTTCCTATTTTGCTTTTGTCACATCATTTTTTATATCACTTGGCTATGACATCCCACTCTGGCCCAGTGATTTGCATGTTCTGCAATACCTGAGTTCCGTCAGCTCTTTCCGCTAGTCGTTTCTGCCAGCCGGTCATAACCGGTAAATACCGGCTGGCAGCTGTTGTCAGCCGGCTGCTGTCCATGCTGGACCTGTGACTCTGCCACTTCTCTGCTCTCTGGGGACCGGACCCACGCCTCTCGCTCCCTGACCTTTGTCGAGGACTCGGTCGTGCGGGCGGATGATAGATAAGCTCGTCCGGGTGCAGGGATAAGCTCCAGTGCCCGCCACCTGAGCCCTCGCACGACAGCCGTGAGCTACTGACCGGCCCACGTGACCGCACGTCACATGCGCCGCGGCCTCTCACAGTGGTGGCCGCGATAGCGCCGGTGAAATACTCCAGCAGCGCGTCGGATTCGAACTCGGGTCTGCCGGGCGCCGTCGCCGGACCAGCGAAGCGCGACGGGCGTCTCTCGCACGCACCTCTGGCGGACGCAGTACCGCAGCAGCACCGAGGCGCGGCTGTTGTAGAGGCGCGGGCAGAGCCGGGCCAGCAGCACCACCCGGTCCTTCACCTCGGTCACCTGGACGTTCAGCAGGTCGGCCAGCTGGTACAGCTGCCGCTCGCCTGCCGGCCAGCTCCGGTCAGGCGGCGGCACGGCGCAAGGGAGGGTGCCGTCCTCCCCACCAGCGACTCGCCGCGGGGTTCCTCCGGGCGCGATGGTGACGGGTGTGCCGAGGCGTGACGCGGGGTGGTGCCAGACGAGGAGATAGCGTGGCGACACGCGTCATATAGTTGCGTTACGTTAACATGACACGTTATGCAAACATGTTGTGTTTATGTTTGCAAACATAGCAAACGCAGCGCGTATGCTGTGTTTGCAAACATACCAATGAAGAACCGGCTCGACATGAAGAATACAACAATTTCAGAATTTAAATCTTCTAACATGTCTAGCATTCATTCGCATTAATTCACTAGCTTTTCTTCCAGCATTCCACAGATTTCTAGCGTCAAGTCCTCCACCCATTATTCCCCAGTCTCGCCGATCCACCAGTCGCCGGTCCAGGCACCACGGCGAGTACACCAAACCCGCCCAGCACCAGCACCGAGCGCCAGAGCGGCCGCCGCCGTCCAGGCCGGGCCGGGCCGGGTGCCTCAGCGGCGGCAGCGGAGGCGGAGACAGCGGCGGGGGCCGTACCGAGCCGACCGGAGCCCGTCTGGTCGAGCACGCGCCACAGGATGTCCACCAGCTGCGGGCCGTGGTGCGGCCGCAGCACGGCCATCACCTGGCCGTAGACGTGTCGGGAGACGGCGCCGCCGCCGCCCAGCAGCGCGAAGGCGCGCGCCATGAGCTGGCGCCGCGCCGCCACCGCCGTCTGCACGTCCCGCTGCCGGGCGCCGGCGGGCGCAGCGTCACACGGGAGCGGCGGCCCACGGCTGGGCAGCGCCAGGCGAGGCACTAAACGGACTGGAGACGGACTGGAGACGGACGGGATCCGGGGTCGTGCGGGGACGGACTGAGGACACAGAACAGTCTGGAGATGAGTGGGGCATAGTGGAGGGAGACTATGGACGGACTGAGAGGGACTGAGGACGGAACAGAGAACAGACTGGAGATGACTAGGGGGACTAAGGACGAGGACAAAAGGGGGAGGGGCTGGAGACGGACTGCAGATGACTGGGGAGGAGCTGGAGGCGGACTGGGGACGGACTGGGCACCGACTGAGGATAGTGACCTGACGGCTGAGTGCTGGCCAGCACTGATTACGACAAATTGGTGGTTGACTGCGACGACGAAAGCGATGGATTCGGAGCTGGGTGGCGATCACTAAATCTGCCCATGCCAAGTATGTACAGCAGAATGCACCAAGTCAGATGTAAGCCGTTTTGGACGCCAAACAAGACCCTCACAGGCAAGCGACCGACAGAACGTATCAGCACGTAAGCCATGGACAGTGACGGACAACAAAAAGGCAAACAACTAGAAAAATACGATCATAAATGACGCAAATCATGCGGACCAAACGAATGTACCATACCATTTTTGAACCATAACGGACGCAGGTAACGGACACGCACAACAGTCCTTTAACAACGCAGCCAAAGGCTATCAGGGTCCACAAGCATCCGTGCGACGTTAGGAAGTCTTCACGCCAGGTGTAAAATACCTTCAAATGCTTCCTGTAGCTGTTGTAGATGACTGCTAGAATGACGTTCATGAACAGGTACAGGCTGATCAGGAGGAAAACGACGAAGAAGAGGAACATGGGCGGGAACGCGTTGAGAGCTGGCATCCTGCAACATGCGTGGGAATACATCACCCCCGGCACACGCATCCGGCGCATCCCAACGCCCTCGGGTCAGACGACATCTCAAAAACGTCCGCACACGCCGGCGCTCCTCGCCAATTACCGGGGCTGTGTGTTGGACAAAAAGCTGATGGCGATCGATCTCAAGCGATCAGATAGGACGATCTTAAATTGTCATCGTTTCCTTTATGGCGCAAGCGCGTGCCTCTGCGCCTGCTGTCACCGAGTGCAGACGTGAGTCGGTGGAGGCTGTGCGGCAGGCGCTCTCGCCTACGTCAGGTCCGTCTGCTGGCTCACTCACATGACGTCCGGACTGTTGGCCGTGGTCACCAGGACGTACAGGTCGAACACGCTCTCTTCGTAGGTGGCGAAGTACGGCGAGCCGTTGGCGTACGACAGGTTCCTGAAACGCAACACAGCTCCAGCCGCTGACAGAGCCGAAGCAGGGCCAAACCAGCGCCGTTGTTCGAAAATGCAGCATCGCGCGCTCATCTACTCTGTGATGACGATAATGCTTCGCGTAGTCATTTTATTCACAACAGTGCCGCTGCAAGCCCGAAATTCCTTCACTGTCACAAAACCTTCCCATTAAAATGACCCGGCTAAAACCATACACTAAGATTCCAGCATGACATGCACGAAATCGACGCACAACACATTTTATTCTGCCTGCGCTGTCAGGCACCCCAACGGATTTCCAAAACCTCACTGCAGTTTACACCGGCGCTGAGCGCGGTTGGCGAACAACCGCCAAACGTCGCCGGCGTCTCCTTACCGATGTCCAAACAGTTTGTAGGCCATGAGCGCGAAGAGCAGCAGGTTGAGCACGAAGAGCACCATGGTGCCGACCACGTCGGGCAGGGTGCGGCTGACGCTGCGCCACGCTCGCCGCACCTGGCGGCTCTCCGGCATGTTGATCATCAGCAGCGGACGCAGCGGCCGCGACCACCTGGCGCGAGGACAGCCGGCCGGGCGTCACACAGGCTCGAGGGAGGGGCGAGGACAGAGCTGCGGCCGACCGGCGCGGAGACGCGTGGGCGCCTCGTGGACAGCCGGCTTCGGAACACCGCGGAAGCACCAGAGTCGGACCGGGGGTCGGGCAGAGTGGAACGGGGCCACGGGAACGAGCACGTCCACCCCATCACGTGACGGCGCCAGCGGACCGCTGCCGGGCTGGTCTGCCAACACACGTGCAAGACAAGGCTTGATTGGGGTCAACATTTGGGCAGCTACCCACGCTCTGATGCACGTGGAAGGACTCGCTCGTGAAGGCCCGCAGTGTCCCGGCACTGACCCTCCCCCGCGGACAAACACCTCGTCAGAGCCGGTGTGTGAATGTGCTTGCAGTGTCACAACACCCGACTCTCCGCAGAGCAGTCAACCCTAAGGACAGATGTACCGCACCTCACGCAGTGAGAGCCGGTCTCGGTCAGCGCCACGTACACCACGATGTCGATGATGATCAGCTGCAACAGCAGGGCGGCGCCGTCACACGCATAAGCCCGCGTGACTAGCTGACACTGACACTGGAGCGAAGGCACTGTACATCGCTGTTCCACCCATGCCGGAACACTACAGCGCAAGATATCACTGGTCTGGTGGCGCCAGGCAGGTGGAAAAGTCATATGACGGGGCAGAAAATGGCGGCATCTATACAAGCAGCAAGACTGTGCAGATTTCATAGCACTTTAGCGGTAGCGCAATATCAAAAACATTGGCGAATCTCGGCTCTTACTTTAAGCGGCTGTAAGGGTCTGCCCCCAATACGTGACCCCTTACCTACTTGCCAGTTCCGAGAAGCTGTTGGGCGATGCGACGGAGCGTTAAACAGCAAGGAAAAACACAGAATCGAGAGCCACACAGAGATGACCGTCGCTTATACAGCAGACGTCGCTTATACGATACGATAGCGCGTCGCTTATACAGCAGACATGAGCATTTCACAAGCCTGTAGACTGCGACGGAGGCCTCCTTACGTCGGACTCTGGGCCAATCCTGGCCATATTTCTCAACACGACACTCAGCGCAGTATTGAACCAAACGAATCCGACACGCGAAGCACGTTAAGCGTAGCTTAGCAACGACAAGACCACGGTGAGCATAGCTGGAAAAAGTCATCCTGGGCAATCTATCTATAGCGTTAACGAGATGGCTCTGCCGGCTGAACCACGTCGACCAATTACCGCGCGTAATCATGCCATCGGCCACGGCAGCCCGACGCCACACTGACCACAATCACCGCCACGACGACTACGTTCTTCACGTCCTTCCAGAACCAGGCATGCGAGGTAAAACTGAGCAGGTGGATGCAGCGGTATACGTAGAAGCCCACGCAGCAGAGCTCGATGCAGGCGGGTATCTGCCGGTGGCGGAGATCGGGGCGCGTCAGAGGAGTGCGAGCGGTGTGCCTAGAGCCCCGCGCCCGTCACCGGCGGCGTCGGCGCACGGAGGGCGCCGCCTTTCAAAGCGCCCAGCGGAGAAAGACACGAGAACGCGGCGGCAGTCTGACACGGAGCGCCGCTCGGTCATCACACACGGGGCACCATACGGTCATCGCACACGGAGCACGGTAGGTAATCACACACACGGAGCACCACGCGCTCATCACACGCGGAGCACCGCACAGTTATCACACACACGGAGTACCGCGCGGTCATCACACGTGGAGCACGGTAGGTCATCACACACATACACGGTGCACCGCACGGTCATCACACACGGAGTGCCGGTGTCGGCTGAGCGTGTGGCGCGGGTGCCCCTGTGAGCGCACTCTTTCTTTCCGGTGAACGTGTTTTACGATCGACTGTCAAGCAGGCAGGGAAAAGCTCACAACACCTGGACCGAAGGTCACAACACCTGGACCAAAGGTCATAGCACCCGGACCAAAAGCCACAATACCTGGGCCAAAGGTTATAGAAGCTGGACCAAAGGTCACAACACCTGAACCAAAGGCACCAGCTCCTCACCAGGTAGTTCAGCTTGAGACTGCGCAAAGTGGGCTCCTCAAACAGCGCCAGCGCCATGTGGACGCACAGCACCATGTACAGCAGCCACTTGAACCAGACCGACCGGTAAGCCAGGTAGTAGCTGCCGGTAAAGAAGCATAAGCTATACTCACATAATGAATTAATGTATCAATACCTGGAATCGATTTGAGTCAACGTCCCATCTTGCACTGATGCGATAGTGGCAACACACAAACACTATGCCTCGACAACCTGATCAATGTTTTGCCATGGGAGAGATGTTGGCCACTAAAGGTGTACCTTTCTTCGCGAATAACGGAATTTATTGTCAAACCCACCGCCATGTCCAGACCTGAACATGGCAACAAGGTGACTCCAACGCAGGCTCGGCCGGCACGGCCCAACACGGGTTCCAACACGAGCTCCAATACGGATCCCAGCACGGGCTCCAGCACGGCGCCGTGCACCACCACACAACCCACACACATCCCCGACACAGGGCGGTCACGTGGCCGTCCCCACAACACCCCACGCGACCCCGACTGCAGCACCAAACCAGCAGAGGTCAGCATGGTATCAATGCGGGCCGAACCGTCCTCAGCGCAACACTGGCGCGGCATCGGCACGGTCCCAGCCTTCTACCAACTCCCAGCAGTGCCCAACACGTCCTGAATGCACCGCAGTCCCACCAACCGATCAGGTGATCCCGACCGATCTGAACCCGCTCGGCCCTGAATGTCCCCGGACGGCCAGGGCACAAACTTGAAAGACAGCCCAAAAATGATCCACGTGCAGACACGATGCGACCACAGTGCGTTCTCGACAGTCCCAGGATGATCCACGTACGGCCACGGTGCGGCCGCAGCACGTTCTGCACACAACACGGTCTCAAAAAACGTCTCACGCGGCATTAGCAGGGCACCGGCATGGTGCGGCTTCAACATCGAAAAACGCGGGCCCAACATGGGCATAATATAACGCTGACACGACATGAGTAAAACATGGCATCAACGCAAGGCGGCGCCAATGCGACGCGAACACCGCCACAGCACGACAACGTTGAATTACCCAGGCAACAAACTAAACTCCATGATGCTGACATGCCCGCATCGCACCACGACACTCTCCAGCGCGCTCCCAAATGGCCCGACATGACCGCAACACGGCCCAAGCACAGAACCGCCACCATCCTACAGAAGCCTGGCATGGTCTGTACTGGAACTGCATGCCACAGACATGTATGTCTTTGAAACACCTCTGGTCACACTTTTCACACTGATCAATTGCGACCTCCACGAACATTCGCATAATGCGTTTTTGTAGGTCATGGTATGGGTACAACAGCATACAACAGCATATGGGTACAACAGCATACAACAATCAACATATCTAGTTATCTGATGCCATAGGAACAGTGAATGACAATTGTAATGCCTTAATCCAATTATTAATTCAACTACAACAATGAAACACAGAGTGGCATGGCCACTTTTTCTCCCAGAGGCAGCAACATTACCACCAGCTGTAAAAGCATCCCCAAACATGGTGAAAATGACCCACCTGAGATTTCTTGGAGTAGGGTCAAAATATAGACACATCTTCCAGCCAGCTCGGGCATCCTCAATATAGGTGGCAGCCAACAGCAACTCCTAAAGAAAAACATTGGTGTCTGAGTGACATTCCATTCAGATATTTAGAAACTGCTCACTTTGTTCACCCTGATCATGACTATGGAGAAATAGCACAGGACCATGACTTTTTGTGTGGTGATGCTGTATCATGAAGACATTACATACACACAATGACCACTGAATATCACAATTTCATCACTCACATGCCTGGACAGCTGGCCACTATGCCTCTCATCTTCTGGCAAGTCAGTTGCTATCTCTATTGCATTAGCAGAGTCAGCTGTATCACCATTGTTCTCCATTGTCAGGTCCGAGCATGCTGAAAATGGCAGTTGCTATCAGGCATCATACAAGGATTGTGGGATGTGTGTCTGGAGCAACATTTTGGTGATGATGATTCGGGGTTTTAGGGCGCATCAACTGCTGAAGGTCATGCAGCGCTCTGGAGCAACATTTCATGAATCTTGCATTATACCAAAGGTTTTAAGTAATGTCTGGTCTACATCTATCAAATGAAGTAGGACAATTTATCCCAATATATCTGTGGAATCTTGATGAAATGCAATGGCGTAATAAAAATATATTCTACCTTACCCCTTAAAAATACAAAAGCAGAATACTCAAGAAGCCCTTAAAGCTCTTAAAAAAGATAATTTGATGGCAAGTCTTAAAAATCTTACAGCAGGAAACCCAAGAATTAAGTGAAAGTGTATGAATTGCATATATATATATATATATATATATATATATATATATATATATATATATATATATATATATATATATATATATATATATATATATACATGAATACATATAAGAACATGTCTGCCATACACTGCTGGGAATGGGAGGAGTAAATGACTTTTATATGATGTGTTTTACATTACCAAATCATTCTTCACTTCAGAATCATGCCCATCCAATGTGTCACAGCCTGTGTGACTTAAGTGCACTAAACCTTGTGCTCACATGCACCAAGCCCACACTTAGAAGCACTCAGAAGCACATGGTATTTTTACTTGGAAATGTGTTCACATCAATATCCCCTGAAACATTGGCCCTCTACACACTTAAATTGGTCTGAACACCACTCTCCACACTCTGATCTATAGTGCACATCTGCTAAAAACCTTTTCTGCATAGTTATTCTTAGGCTGGCTGTCTGTTCTATCTATCTGTTCATATTCTGACTTCAGGCAAATCAACTTTTAAAATGAATGGCTATTCAAATATTACATTAAAGCTTTAAACCTACTTTCAAGGCATTACCCTTTGAAAAAAAATGTGTGCACAACACAGCAAGTCATCTCTCAATTAATTTATCGTTTTCCATTTCTCATCCATTTCTCAGAGCAATTTGTCTCCTCTCTCCCAAGTCAGAGGCTCGGGGGAGGGAGGAAATAATATGAATATGAAACTATATCCCTAGGGCTAATGTTACCATCTGAAACCACTAATAGTCCAGGTTCCCAAAAGGTCAGAAACTAATACTGTTCATGAAAATGATGGAAGCTGATTTACTGCAAGACTTAAAGCTATATAACCGCCGCGGTCGCAGGCACACCACGTCCACACGCCCCCTCACCGGAGCCCACAATGTTTTTGTGCACATCTTCTGTGTGCACGACGGTGTTGAATGACACCAGCGCGCCGAGTCAAGCAGCGCATTATTTGACGCTCAGAATAAAATAATTATTTTTACAATTAAACTACTTACAGAAATTTTCTTTAAACATCATGACATTAATTTATTTTTTTTTGATACTTGAAGCTTGGAGCATGTAAATAAGGTTTTTTCAGAGCTTAAGCTTTACTGCGTTTCTTGCTGTAGATTAAGTGATTTGCTTCCTTTACCCGCGAACTTCATATCTAGCGCTGTATAGACAGTTACGGATTCACAATAATTGCGTTTGGAGCAGGTAGCGGATGTTTGTAATTTCCGTGGCATTTCTGTGCGTTTTTTCGTTTGTTCGTTTGCGGCGTTGTGAGCGTTATTCCTTGGACATGATTTTTATATTAATTGAGTTAGAGTTTTACAGATGTATGGTCCATAAGGGTGGGTTCTTCGTGGCTGGTTGGTTTTGTTTGAACAACGCAAGGCGTTGTGTAATTTATTATTACTTTATTTTTGTGTGGTGCGACAAACGGTGAATTTCCCCCTCCCAAATATAAAGTATTGGTCTCCCAATCACCTAAAGCACAACCAGGCTTCTCTTGGCTCTGACATTCAAGGTTCCTATTTGTTTCAAGCAGCCAGAGGTTTGCCAATTGGTCTGAAAAAGATCATGAGGCAGTGGCAGACAGAGGGGTCTGTACTTCAAAATGCACATTTTGCTGCACCATTCTGGTATAGCAGTGACATCTGGTAGCATTTTCAGTTCATGCGCACCATAGATATGATAGCCCAAGCTGGGTACACTGTCACCGCCAATCTCAGAGCACAGAGAATCAGTTGTTCAAGGGATCATGATGCTGCCAAAAAAGTCATGCAAAATTACCATCAGGATGCTTTGCAAGCAATAACTATTTGAAAATTGTGTGGAAACTGGTCTGGCCTGAGTGTGGGGATACAGATTTTTCAGGTTTGATACACCAATTCCACAAAATGTCTCAGGCAGTGGATCAGTTTTTCTACACTGAAATGTACCAGCCTGGGAATGTTCAGCTTTTGTGGGAAGGAGGCCAACACTGAGTTGTCGTTGCTATATCCTACTTCTTGGAATCATTGCTCTCTATGAGCTGAAGTTAGTCATCACTTTATACTGGGCTCAGGCACCTAGATGGAGTGTATTTGTGCTCAAATTGAGCCTGCATAACTGCTTATATGCAAGATATGTTTTGCAAAGCATGTATGTTTTCAGGTATGACCCAGGGCATAGGAAATGGATCTGAAGTCTCCCTCAGCTTAAGGGCCATTTTTTACCAGCCGTACATCCAGTGTGTCATGCAAATTCCATCCACTGTTGAACACCAAGGTTCACATTAAGCTGAACCTGGTGCATGTGTAGACTTAAGTCAGGTTAAGTTGTGTTTGCTTAAATGCAAGGGTAAGGATGTTTAGGTGCATGTCATCAACATTGCCATCACATCATTCCAATTTTTGGAATCCTGTGCTCTGAAGCCTTGTTTGCTGGTTGTACATATTTTAGCACACTTTTGACAACATATAGAACAGACTGACCCACTTTGCATGGACAGAATTCTGACTAACTCTATGCTGCTCAGTGCAAATTAGATCCGACTAATGCTGACCCAAGGATAAAAGATCTGATTCTAGAACTCATTCTGTTTAATGCATTTGCTTCTGCAGTTCCATCCCCAGTCAGACTCTCAAAGCCCAGAAAACAGAGCCATTGTTTTTGTGCCCAGATTTGACAAAAAGTTATGCTGTTTGAGACAGACTTGTGCTTGACATCTAGTCGAGTCACATCCAACTTCAGTGTCAACCAAAGATTTGTTGAAGGAGGGTAGAATTAGTGCCTGGACTTTTTGTTAAGAGTTTGGGTTGGGTGGAGAAGGCTGTCAGTGACTCACCCCTAGTAGAAGTATAAGCAGTAGGATGTATTCATAGACAGTTCATTTTGACATTGAGAGTGGCATAGTTAGATGTGACTGCATCACTACCAAAGTGATTGTCCCATGTAAGATTTTGTGAAGGTCTCATGTAGCCTGTTACAAAAATCAACAACCTGAAATGATTTTTCTTTCATCCAAAGGAATTTGTGCAATGCTTTGTTTTTGAAGTTACTTCTGATTGTATGCCAGGGATTCCTCACACTGTCATACATCAACCTTGTTAGTATTCTTATGATGTAATTGATTAATGATTTGATGTGCCTCAAACAAGAAGTAATTGGGATACTTTGATGCCCAAGGCAGTTAGGTGCAAAGCTGTAACCTTATTGGTTGAGAGCAGTCACAAGATCCATATGTGATACATTTAAAGTTTTTATGCTAAATGCACTAGAAAATGTTTTGAAATTTTGCATTTACCAGCCAGGCTCAAAAGGGAATGTAGCTCACATTGTCTTGACACTGAAAGCGTTGACAGAATATCTTGCCACAGACACCTCATATCATCAATAACGAAGAATGAGTCTCTGGGTGGACAAACACAGGCCAACGAGCCTGGCCAAGCTAGACTATCACATAGAGCAGGCCGCTCAGCTGTCAAAGCTGGTGAAGAGTGGGGACTTTCCGCACCTTCTGGTGTACGGGCCGTCTGGCGCCGGCAAGAAAACGCGCGTCATGTGCCTGCTGCGAGAGCTGTACGGCGCCGGCGTCGACAAGCTGCGCATTGAACACCAGCACTTTGAGACGCCGTCGAAGCGCAAGATCGAAATAGTAACCGTGGCGAGCAACTACCACATCGAGGTGAATCCGAGTGACGCGGGCAACAACGACCGCGTTGTTATCCAGGAGCTGCTCAAGACTGTCGCCCAGACGCACCAGCTCAACTCTGACAGCCAGCGCGACTTCAAGGTGGTGATCGTCACGGAGGCCGACCGTCTGACGAAGGACGCGCAGCACGGTCTGCGCCGCACCATGGAGAAGTACATGGGCACGTGCCGGATCGTGCTGGTCGCCAACTCGAGCAGCCAGGTGATCCCGGCCATCCGCAGCCGGTGCCTGGCCGTGCGCGTGCCCGCCCCATCGACGGCCGAGGTCACGGCTGTGCTCCGCGGCGTCTGCAAGAAGGAGGGTCTGGCGCTGCCCGCCGAGCTGGCGGACAAGATCGCCGACAAGAGCGGCCGCAACATGCGGCGCGCGCTGCTCATGTGCGAGACGTGCCGCGTGCAGCAGGTGCCGCTGTCGGCCTCGCAGTCCGTCTCCCTGCCCGACTGGGAGCTGTTCCTGCAGGAGACGGCCAGCATGATCGTGCAGGAGCAGTCGCCCAAGCGGCTGCTGGAGGTGCGCTCCCGGCTATACGAGCTGATGGTGCACTGTATTCCGGCTGACGTCGTCTTCAAGGGCCTGCTGCGGGAGCTGATCCGCAACTGTGACAGCCAGCTCAAGGCGGACCTGACGGCCGAGGCGGCTGCCTACGAGCACCGTCTAAACCTGGGCTCGAAGCACATCTACCACCTGGAGGCCTTCGTCGCCAAGTTCATGGCCCGCTACAAGCGCTTTGTCGACGACAGCCTCATGGACATGATGTAGTTTGTGTGTGGTGCCAACTATGCACCTTCGGAACAGGCCACCCCGGGCATCGCCACCTGAAAGTGATGAATATACTGTGTTTGCTAAATTTGTCTTGTAGCCCAGTGCCTTGCATGAGTAGCACTGGGGTAGAGTTGGCTGGTGCGATGTCGTTGGATGTGCTTTTGAGGTCACGTATTTTTTTGGCGTTCAACAAGCTCAGGACGACATGCATGCTCCTAAAACGGCCGGGGACCTCAACGTAGCCATGCCTCGAGATACTGGAAGCCAGTAGACGGTGGTGGTGCCAACTACTTCTGCAAGGCGGGATACAAAGTTGCAAAATTCAATGTCGCAAATTGCCGCAGCGGCCTTCCTGCCAGCGGGGAGAGAAAAAAAAATGTTTGATGGTCGACCGAATGTACGTTCAACTCGCTAGCGTATCCGCAGATTAAAAGAAAACAGCATTGCAACAGCCAACAGCAAGACCCGCCTTTCGTACTTTTTTCAATGACAATAGAGCATTGTTATGCATTGCAATGTGACACTTCAACGCTTGGAGCACTGCAACATAACATAGCAGCACAAACGTTGCGACACGTCAAGGTCCCAGTTGCACGGACAGATTTCGACAATGTTTTACTGCCATCATACTTCGTGTACCACGCGACCTCTGACCACAGGCACAGCATCTTGCGGCGTATTACGTATTTTAAAGACTGTTCCACATTTGTATGGTGGTTTGAACTGAAATAGCAATCTCGAAGATCGGTCGGTACAGTTCACAGCCCTGGCCTTCTAAAGACCTCTCTAGTTTCTGAGCTTCACGCCAGTGAAGGTATGCAGGCTATTTCAAGTTCACCCAGGCATCCATGACATCAAACGATACGACGACATAACGAAATTCAAATCCTGCTATTCCCTTCGCCATGCGGTGATCAACGCCTGGATAAATATGATTGTCGAGTCGTTCATATCTGACGTTCGTGAGGACTATTACCATATATGGTGGCGGAGGTTGGCTCTCAATCAGTGTTGTGCGAGGAACTGTGAGGAAATCAAACAATGACGCATCGAGGGGCGTGTTAACAATAGAAAAATAGTTTTGTCCAGATCAGTCTCGCTCGCCTGGAAGCATACCAATAGTCATAAGTGAGCTTATTTGATCATATCTGCTGCTTGCTCAATGTCTTCAAATGTAGAACATTCCCTTCAATCCACCCGACGAGGGCAGACGCGCGAACCTCGGGTATAGTCCGATTAAGCCGAAGGTCGGCGATGAAACGCGCGGTGTCAGACTCGGCGCCTGCATTCAGTACTTCGGTTTTTCAGGTCACAGTAGGTCACATTAGACAAATTAAGCAAAAAAATGGAAGGCGGGGGTGATAATTTCGGATGTCGTTTGACTTACTAAAAATCTGCGATGAAACCCGCTCGGTGATGCAGACGTCATTCATATCAATGTTACCCTAAACCATGCTTGCGACTTGTCAACATTCTGCAGCGTGGCATGTGACAAAAGATCGTGTTTAACTCGCTACCAAGCTGCCTGCATTGGACAATGCACAGGTGTTTATAGAACTATACCCGTTATGGACTAGGAAGCCCTCCATTATGAATTAGGAGGCTCTCGTCAGGAATTAGGAGTCTCCGTTCTGAACTAAGGAGCTCCCGCTAAGAATTAGAAGAACTAGAAGGTCCCTTTTATCAATACGAGACCCTCGTTGGGAACTAAGAGGTCCTCATTATAAACGATGGGGCCCCAGTATAAAATAAAATAAACCCGTTATGACCTAGAATGCCCCCAGTATGAACCACAAGGTACCGCATGTGCCAGGACACTGCCGAACGCCACGGTGTAGACGCGCCGGGATTGACATAGTTGTAGACAACTGAATAACGGATTGCTACATGATTGTTGATTGACATGAACTCTTGGTGTCAAGATTAGACGTACCTTGGAAGGTCGCTGACCTATGGCAGGTCAAGTCAGACCATGACTGTCAGCGAATGCGATTCCTGGGAAAACACTGTTGTTGACCGTTCGTTGTCATGTGCTCCGTCTCCTTACATCGGCTTGCGCGAGGAGTAGGGGAGGAGGGGGCACCGAGTGAATGAGAGGGGGACGGGACTGTGCCCCCTCCCCCCCCCCCCTGTTGGGCCCCGAAGTGGCCCATAGGCTCCGAATGGGCCCATGGCTGACCGAACAGATGCAGTTTTCTGAACACCAAACACGGCAAAATTGGACGTCTTTGGACTTCCAAGAACAGGCGGCCAAGAACAGTCGCAAGCGAAAATGAAGGGTCCAGGAAGAAACAAAACAAAAAATCTTCACCGATTTGCAGGGTTTTGGTTGAGAGATTTTCAGGTTCATTTCGCTGCTCAGAGGCCCTATACCGTTTTCAGTGGGCCTACATGTCCACTTGCCGGGTCTGTCCGACCGTTAAGAAGCCCTCCACGTTGCCCTTGGTATCTTCGCATTTGCTCGGAGGGCCCTGCGCTGTTGCCGGGCCTTTCCTGCTACCGTGCCGGGGTACTCTTGTCAATCAGGGGCCTTCCACGGATTTTCCCATTCACCCGGAAGGCTCTGTACGCTATAGCCAGGGGCCCCATATGTTGACCTGCCGGGGTATTCTCGGTTACTCAGGGTTTCGGTTAAACTTTGGTTTCGGTTAAACTACCGACGCACTCGCGATACGTTTATGAGCCGTCTGCATTGGTCAATGGGCCCAGTATAATTTCGGTACAGGCCACTGACAGCTGCCTTAGGCGGACTTGCATATACAATGAGGCTGACACACCAGGAATGCTCGGCTCCAGTCATCCTATATGATGCAGAACCATCGCACCGGTGACCCGTTTATGCTCAACAACAATATAAACGCGACAACCAGCCAAGCATAGTCGCAAGACGTTGACCTCGTAACGCGATGCAATTAGTTCCTGTTCCTGAGGTCGCTGGCTTCGTCTAATTTGCACTCGAAATGCCAGGATCTTCATTGACGATGGACGGATGTACAACGCTGTCTTCTGTCGGGAACTGAACTGGTTCAGGTGAGGGGTTTGGGCTGAATGTTGAACGCTGAAATGAAAGGAACATAACATTATTCAGGAGCGTGATTATGTGGAGGGGAAGTGCAAAGTACAGCATTAAAGCACTGTTATTACATAATTTTTGATGTGCATCACAATATCGCGAACTTCCTATTCTTTAATGCATTCTGTTTCAGTGTAATGGCCTAAGATGTGAAAAAACAAAACAGAACTTGTCACGTTCGATATGACATCCATGCCATTTTGAAATGTATGTCTTTGCTTGCCGGAGCATCTCCCACTGACCCACAAGTTCCAGCTTTTGTGAATTAGATTTTTCACTCCGGTATAGTTTTTGCGGTGGAATTTTTGCTCCCACACTATCTCAAAAGCGATTCTAGCTCACTACCTTCGGCCCTTTCGTTTCTCCGGCACTTGTTTAGGGCCCCACGTTGTTGTCGGGGGCCCTAAGCAGTTGTCTTTTAACCGCTCGGGTGCACGTGATCTCTCGGGGGGTCCTCCACATTGTGTCGTGGATATTTCTTACTTGAATGGAGGGCTCTATGCTCTCGTCGAGGGTCCAATCTGTTGACCTGCTCGGGCGCACTCGATAATTCCGGGCCACCTATGTTGTGTCTTGGGTACTCCTTATTTGAATGGAGGGCCCTATGTTCTCGTCGGGTGCCCCATCTGTTGACCTGCCCGGGCGCCCTCGATGATTCCGGGCCAGCCATATTGTGTCTTGGGTACTTCTTATTTGAATAAATGGCCTTATGTTTTTGGCTGACCCTCCTCTATTAAGCTGCTCGGGATGGTGACGGAAACAGAGAAGGGGATGGGCGCGGGGCCATGCCCCCGCCCTCCTGGCGTCCTGAGGGGACCCATATGCTACCAAGGGTCCATAACCAGCCAAACGAGCGCAGTTTTCTAACTCAAAACACAACAAAATTGGATGCCTTTGGACTTACATACGACCAAGAACAAGCGCAAGCGAAAGTGAAGAGCCCATGAGCCGACAAACATAATTATTCGTTGACCAAGAGGGCAGTCATCACGAGAAAAAAAAATGTTGGGCTCATAGCGCTGTCCAAATGTCTTACGCTGTTGCCAGGGGCCCTACATGTCCACTTGCCGGGTCAATCCGATTGCTAAGGAGCCTTTCTGGATCTCTGTGCGTTTTATCATAGGGCTCTACGCTGCTGTTGGGATACTACCTGCTTAAATGCCTGAGTACATTTGATCGATCAAGTTGTCCTCCACGGATTCTTCCCAGTCGGCCGAAAGGCTCTATACGCTTTTTTGGGGGGGCGGGGGCATATGACAGGGTACACTCATTTGCTCGAACGCCCTCTATATTGGTCTCTTGTTCCACTTGCTCGGAGGGCGCTGTGCTGTTGCTAGGGCTCATATAAGGCAAGGCACAGAGCCACTCGATGCTCAGGGGTCCTCTACTTTGATCTAGGACTAGTTCCCTTTGATCTCATTTGCGGAGCGCCCTTTAATCTCATCAAGGCCTTTCCTGTTAACCTGGTCTGGCACCCTTTATCGCACAGGGGCATTCATTTATGTACGCTGGTCTCGGGCAATTTTTCTTCGCCCAGAGGGCCCTGTGCCCTGGCTGGGGTCTTGTATGCCAGCCTGCCGGGGCAATCCCGAGCGTTCAGGGACCCACCATGTTGGCCTTGCGTTCATTCTGGCTTGCTCTGTGGACCCTATATTTATTGACAGAAGCCTCTTTGTTGGCTTACTACGGCAGCTCTAACCGCTCAGGCTTCCTCCCTGCTGGCCTTGGTGCCGTAGCCTTAGAGCAGTGGGCGGATACGGGCGGATGAATTTTTGCGCGCAATTGTCGAACGTAATTTTACTTGCTGCCGACGACGTATGTGTTATTTCCCGTTGGTTATTGAATTAGTGACATTTCGATATCCTTTTTCAGTACGTTCTTAATTCATCTTAAATGCTAAAATATCTTGCACCCGTTTAAAGCAACAATTAACTGTATTTGTCATCACCCATCAGCTGATTACATCGACCAGCCGACTAGCCGTAAATAAGCTTGGAATCGAGTTTGTGCTTGATCTTGAGGGTATTTAGCATCTAACTTTAGTTTATTTTGTCATGTTCTTCCAAAAAACTTAGCTTAAGAATGACAGAATTCACCATGATTCGAAGAAAATGAACAAGCTCCATACGTGCGCATACGCGGCGCGCCTAGTTTTCTAGGGCTGCACGCAGTAGATGGGTCGCGTAAAAATATCGTACTTATTACGTTAAAAGCCAATATCCAGAATGCGGGTTTTCTTGATGGGGCTCCAAACTCTAAAGGGCCACAATGTTGCGTGCCCCCCCCTTTAACGCCCTTGACGAAATCCTGGCTCAGCACCTGGCGGGGGGTGTGGGGGGATCCGGCATCCATAGCTCTTGCTCCAATCCAGTTGTCACGCATGTTCCGCACTTCTGATCTCTCTTGTCCCTGCTTTGATCACGCCCTGCCAGCTTATGGGCCGCTGGCTCGGCAATCCAGCGCACTGGCATGCCGGCACTTCTAATCTCAGCCAGGCACCAGCGCAGTGCGCCGGTCACGCGCGCTTACCAACGGACTATTCGCCCCATGCACTTACAAAAGTGATCTCGTTGGTCGCAGCTATGCGTTCTACTCTGCTGTGCAAGTGGCTTGGCAGGAACACCTGACTTCGTCTCTCCAATCTTCCAACCAAGTCATAGGGAAATAATCGCTTTGTATTGCGGTGGGTCCATTCACAAAGGAAGCAGAACAGCGGAAACGTCACAGGGGGGCGCAATAGTTGTGGTGACTAAATATTGCATGACGACTTTTAAAGCCTGGTTATTCTAACGAATCTCCTCCTCCCATAACAACCTTCCCACAGGAGTTATTTCAACTTTACACTGCGAGGAAAGGGGCCTTAGAGGCACCCTTATCTCGAAAACTAAGCCTGTTGGAGCCACGCACAGACCGGCATTGACAGCTTTTGTAAGATGGCACCAGCTAAGTGTACCTACTCAATGGCGAATAAGACCTTTGGCACGGCACACCAGATCAAAAATATTATAAACTATTACTACTACTACTACTACGACTACTACTACTACTACTACTACTACTA